ACAGAGTACAGGCCACAAAGGGTGTTTATCAGACCCCAGTTATTTGGTTATTATGGCAATGAATGTTACAGAATATTTCCAGTACATTGTTTGTTTAAGTCGGTACATAGAATTTTGATTAGGTACTGGATGCCAAGTGTGGATACAGCCTTAGTATATCAGCTATCGTGTCATCAGAGATAAAGTGCTGTGCCATTGTATACACAGTGTGCTTGGATCTATCTCTATAAGGTTCTATATTTTCACAGTCTAAGGCGTAGTGTTGGAGTGTGTGGCCATATGTCTGGCCACACACTTTACAATTAGTTTTATGTGTGTGTGTCTGTGTGTGTGTGTCTGTGTGTGTGTGTGTGTGTGTGTGTGTGTGTGTGTGTGTGAGTGTGTGTGTTATTAGTCAATGTAAATAAAAGTAGATGGATGAAAAATAAGAAGATAAGAAAGAAAGAAGAAAAACTTATCATAAGCAGGAAAAATTGACAAAATAGACAGAGAAGAATTTTAGACCAGGGAGGAGTTGATGGAAATAAATTATGGTGTTGAAACTGTTTACTTACTAAGGTATTAAAAGGTCATGTATTTACAAAGGTTTAAACTTACCTATAATTGGCAATGTACTAATGCCTACAGAGCTATTAAAGGTACTACTGCCTATGAGCTACAAAGGCAATGCCACCATGAAGCATAAAGGCACACACATGTACTACTAAGGCACATGTTTACAGGCGCAATGGCATTAAATCAATATGTTTAGAGACACGTGGAAGATCTGATGTTTTGCTTTGCACAGATAAAAGTAGAGGTAGTGTTTACAAAGGTAAAGCAGAGGAGGTAGAGATGATGTAGGGTGCTAGAGGAGGTGGTGCTTACAGAGTGGTAGAGGTAGTGTTTACAAAAGTGCTAGGAGGTAGTGTTTACAAAAGTGCTAGAGGTGGTAGTGTTTACATAGGTGCTAGAGGAGGTAGTGCTTACAGAGTGGTAGAGGAGGTACATAAGAACATAAGAATGGAGGAAACTGCAGCGGGCCTATTGACCCATACTGGGCAGTCCCGTTTACACCCAACCCCTATTGCTCATATAAACATCCAACCTATGTTTAAAGCTATTCAGCGTATTCGAGTTAATGATGATATTTGGTAACTTGTTCCATTCATCCACTACTCTATTTCCAAACCAGTGTTTACCTATTTCACGCCTAAATCTAAATTTGTCTAATTTAAAACCATTGTTACGAATTCGCTCCTGGTTGGATAGTTTGAGAGTGTTTACAGGGTGGTAGAAAAGGTAGTGTTTACAGGGTGGAAGAAGGGTTAATGTTTACAGTTTGGTAGAAGAGGTAGTGTTTACAGAGTAGTAGAGGAGGTAGTGTTTACAGGGTGGTAGAGGAGGTAGTATTTACAGGGTGGTAGAGAAGGAAGTGTTTACAAAGGAGTAGAGAAGGTAGTGTTTACAAAGGAGCTAGAGGTGGTAGTGTTTACATAGGTGCTAGAGGAGTAGTGTTTACAGAGTGGTAGACGAGGTAGTGTTTACAAACCTGCTAGAGTAGGTAGTGTTTACAAATGTGCTAGAGGAGGTAGTGTTTACAGGGTGGTAGAAGAGGTAGTGTTTACAAAGGTGCTAGAGGAGGTAGTGTTTACAGAGTGGTAGAGGAGGTAGTGTTTTACAGGGTGGTAGAAGAGTAAATAAGCTTACAAATGTGCTAGAGGAGGAAGCTTACAGGGTGGTAGAGGAGGTAGGTGTTTACAGAGTGGTAGAGGAGCTAGTTAAGAGCTTACAGAGTGGTAGAAGAGGTAGCGTTACAAATGTGCTAGAGGATAGTGTGCTTACAGGGTGGTAGAGGAGGTAGTGTTACTGGCGTAATAGAGGTAGTGTTTACAAAGGTGTTAGGAGGAATGGAAGTAAGCAAAGGTGCTGGAGGAGGTAGTGTTTACAGAGATGGGTAGAGGAGGTAGTAAGGGGTAGAGGTGGGTAGTGCTAGAGGAATGTGTAGTAAGCACAAGGTGCTGGAGGAGGTAGTGTTTACAGAGTGGTAGAGGAGGTAGTGTTTACCAAGGTAATAGAGGTGGTAGTGTTTACAAAGGTGCAAGAGGAATGTAGTGTTTACAAATGTGCTAGAGGAGGTAGTGTTTACAAAGGTGCTAGAGGAGGTAGTGTTTACAGAGTGGTAGAGGAGGTAGTGTTTACAGAGGTGATAGAGGAGGTAGTGTTTACAAAGGTGCTAGAGGAATGTAGTGTTTACAAAGGTGCTAGAGGAGGTAGTGTTTACAGAGTGGTAGAGGAGGTAGAGTTTACAGAGTGGTAGAGGAGGTAGAGTTTACAGAGTGCTAGAGGTGGTAGTGTTTACAGATGTGCTAGAGGAAGTAGTGTTTACAGAGGTGGTACTGTTTACAAAGGTGTCAAAGGAGGTAGTGTTTACAGAGGAGGTAGTGTTTACAGAGGTGGTAATGTTTACAGAGGAGGTAATGTTTACAGATGTGGTAGTGTTTACAGATGTGGTAATGTT